GAAGAAGTTTTACACCTTTCTGCAGGAGGGCTGATCTAGAATGGTGGTAAAAATAGCAGTGGTAGCAGTGTGTCTGCAGTGGGCCCCTCCAGGGTGGGTGGGCTGCATTTATAAGCTGTATCTATATGTAGTTTATCTCACATTGCTCCCAGTGGGATTGTAAATCAGGGAATTACTTTGGGAGGGGGTATAGTGCAGGAAGCTCTGCCCCTTTTCCAGCACTGAGCTCACTGGTGGTAGTCCTGTGAACTTTTCTTAGAGAAGAAAAGGAGTAGAGTTGAGTATGAAGTTGATTTTAATAATGAAAATGAAATGGATTGGAACAGTTACAGAAAGTCACAGTCAAAATGTCTTAAATCATCATAGAAATCTTTCCTCTGCGTGCAAAATCTGCTGCCTTTAAAAAGAACAGGTTGGGTCCTCTGCATTTTCTCTTACTTCACTCTCAGGCCTGTTCTCACAGGCAGGAGCTTTTTCTTTATGACTGTCTTGCTCTGCAGGAGACCTAGATTGTATCTTCAGAGGACAAAAAGGTGAGGAAGATGCTGAGAACAGCAAGCTGCTTCTGCTGATGTAGAATTCCCATGCTAGCAGATGCCCATTATGGTGTAGGAGAAAGTCCCCACCACAGAGGAAGAAAAGGAAATGTCTGTAGCCAAGATCTGGCTTCTGCCGCCAGGAGGGGAAGGGAACTGCACCAGAAAGGGAAGCAAAAGTGGGAAGTGAATGTGCAGCATCACCATGGGAAGAACCTGGGCTTTGGAGCCTGCTGCAGCCTCACTTTCTGCCAAAAGCTACAAGGCAGGTGGTAAGCACTTGGCACGAGGCTCCTGCAGCAGCTGCAGTCCACACGGAGAGGCCACCCCGGAGGCAGACTCAGGCTTTGGACAAAATGGAAACAAAGGGATCCACAGTCACCTACAAACTGTGATCCTTGGTGGGGGTCAGTTGTTTGGTTTTGTCCACCCAGTAAGGAAGGGGAACAAAAACAACAGAACTTGGCATTTAATCTAGTCTTAGGTAAACAGCTCTGCTACATCTCTTTAATTACAGCATAAAAACATCCTGCTAGGAAAGCATATTCCTCTGGACTGTCTGTAATGCTCCCTGTAATGAAATTCAGAGGTGGAGAAGTCAAATTCAAAGGCTGAATCTGTAGACAGGGCCCAAGTTTCTTATCTACAGGGATTCTCCTTTCTAGAGCCAGCATTGGACAAGAAATAGGGAGCAAGTCTGCTACAGTCACAGGATTTCATTTCCATGCTGAAGCTCTTGGGGCTTCTTTGGATCCTATGTAACCTACTCCAAGCTGAGTCCTAGAAATGCCACTAGGTTTTCAGTCTTGCCCTGATTCCAGGCATGTCCTCTCTTAAACCACAAGGTGAGGAGGGGAAACAAAGGCCAGTTGGCAGCTGCAACTACCTGGCAGGAACCTCAGGAAACACCTTCCACCATCTGCCATCATCTGCAGCAGTTCCCTCTGCGTGGACAGTGGAGGAGTCTGGGAACACTGCGGATGAGCTGCACCCTCTGCTCTGAGTCCAGCCCTCCCACCATCACCAGCCCAATGGCCTGAGAGAGAAGCACTCAAAGCAGGCTGACCCTGAAGAGAGATGCAGCTCCTGCCTGCCCTGGCATGGCAGCTGCTGGAGGCACCAGCCCCT